AAGGAGATTTCAAAAGCATTTAAACACAAGTATCATGAAATAACCATACAAATAGGAAAATATCACCGTGAATGGACTGTGAGAGAAGACAGAATAGGAATGAAATGGTAAAGAGGACAGACGAGAAAGAGGCAAACGTAAGGAACTGAAGCAAATTGCCCATTGAGTGAATGAACGTGAAATAGAGGAACGGGAAGGTGTGTTGGGGGTGGTGGGGTGGGGTGCTACCAGGAAAGGGGGAGGGAAAGACGCATTGTAACAATAGGTGAAGACCAATCTAAAGGCACAAGAGTTAACAGATGTAAAAAATTGAGAGAGGTGAAATGGTAACTCCATAATAGTCTAAGCACAAGATAAGAAGCAGGTGAGAGAATGGCCGGGCATCACCTAGGAGAGTGTAGATGAAAGCAGGCAGCTGGGGAAACCTGAGAGGGATGGGGAAGGACAAGGGGCAGCCTGAGAGTCGGATGGACAGGGAGGGACTGCACAGCGCGGGAAGCGAAGTGGGTGAAGCAAGGGGAGAAGTAACTGCAAAGCTTCCATGGAGCCTCCTGCAGGCAAGGCACCCTCTAATCGGTTTACCCGGGCTCATCTATTTCATCCTGGCAAAGGCTGGATGACGTGAGTCCTATTACTGGCCACCTTGCAGGGTGCTCTGCGTTTTCTGAGGTTCTGAATTTGTCTGGATCCATTCATCACAGGGCCAATTGTATTCTCTATTTTTAATTTTCTGTATTCTTTTTCTTTTTTTGCCATCAATAAGAAATTTACTTGTTTTAAAAAAAAAATCCAAATGCAGGTATTGTCCAGAAAAATTTAACAGGTTTGTTTATAATTATTATAAAGTTGAACCGCTGAAACTTGTTCACTGAAACATTTTAACTTGCATTAATGCTTTACGTCTCCGCATTTATATTAAAAATTCACACACAAATGAAAATGGAAAAACTGCCAATATCTGATTTCTGTCCCCTATTTTTCCACTTGCAATCATATACTTAGGTACCTTTTGACCCCATGGAAAAAAAATGATGTCACATTCAGAACTACCAGTAACAGGGAGAATTTTTTTTTTTTTTTTTTTTTTTTGAGAATGAAATGTTTCCCATCACAGTGGATTCTTAAGCACGCTCTCCATGTATGCGGCGTGCTAGCTGGATGTCTTTGGCATAATTGTTACACGTTTGGCATGGATAGCACAAGGTTGGTGTCTTCAGAAAGGCCCACCAGATAGGCCTCACTTGCCTCCTGCAAAGCACCGATAGCGGCGCTCTGGAAGCGCAGATCTGTTTTAAAGTCCTGAGCAATTTCTCGCACCAGGCGCTGGAAGGGAAGTTTGAGAATCAGAAGTTCAGTGGACTTGTGATAACGTCTAATTGCACGGAGGGCCACAGTACCAGGCCTGTAACGATGAGGTTTCTTCACCCCTCCAGTAGAGGGCGCACTCTTGCGAGCGGCTTTTGTAGCCAGTTGCTTCCTGGGTGCTTTACCACCGGTAGATTTGCCGGCAGTCTGCTTTGTACGAGCCATGGTATAGAGACCTCCTTACTTACCCCGCTTCTCCTTCGGCTGGAGCTCGGCCAGTGAGAGGCGGCGCTGGCGTTGGAGAGCGACGGCGGCGCGGAGGCGGCTGCGAACACAATTCTCATTTTCTGTATTCTTGATGCTGTGGCATTTGTGATCTTGCTGAGTAGGGAGAGACGCCCCCTCCCAGTCCTAGCTGATTGGAAAGGTTAGACAGCCTTTTGTTTTTGAGACAGAGTTTCACTCTTGTCCAGGCTGGAGTGCAATGGTGCCATATTGGCTCACTGCAACCTACACTTCCCAAGTTCAAGCGATTCTCCTGCCTCGGCCTCCTGAATGGCTTTGATTACAGGTGCCTAATATCACTCTCAGGTAATTATTTGTATTTTTAGTATAGACCGGGTTTCACTATGTTAGCCAGGTGGTCTTGAGCTCCTGACCTCAGGCGATCCACCCGCCTCAGCCTCCCAAAGTGCTGGGATTACAGACCCACTGTGCCTGCCCAAGTTTTTGGAGCTCTTTATATATTTGGGATACAGATCCGTAGGGTTTTGAGGGATCTGGGAGCTGATGAAAGAAAAAGAGGTGACCATGGGAGGAAGTTACACAGGATAAACTGCACTGAGTGGGGCTTGGACAGGGCGGTATGAGAGGGAAGTTCCCCATAGCATGAGACCGTCTAGAGGCCTGAAGGTGCAGGGGCCAGCATCCAGAAGGGGAGGAGCAGGGAACTCTTGGAGAGGAGCCGGGAGTGGGGATCTCTGTGTCTAGGTGATGCTGCTCAGCAGCAGGGCTGGGGGAGCAGGTGGGAATCTCTGGGTGGGGGAGCTCTGAATGGCTGTAGCAGCCTGAGTTGTTCTAACCACAAGGCACTATCTCACCAAAGGGTAATAGCTGTCCGATGAGGTCTGTGGGGGAGGCGCAGGATGGGAGATGGCATGCAAAGCAGGCAGGCTCTGAATGACTAAAGCTCTACTTGTTTGGGCCATTTTAAAAATAAATAGAAGGTTCGGGCACAGTGGCTCACACCTGTAATCTTAGCACTTTGGGAAGCTGAGGTGGGCGGATCACAAAGTCAAGAGATCGAGACCATCCTGGCCAACGAGAAGAAACCCTGTCTCCACCAAAAATACAAAAATTTGCTGGGCAAGGTGGTGCACGCCTGTAATTCCAGCTACTCGGGAGGCTGAGGCAGGAAAACCGCTTGAGCCCGGGAGACAGAGGTTGCAGTGAGCCCAGATCGTGTCACTGCACTCCAGCCTGGTGACAGAGGGAGACTCAGTCTCAAAAAGAAAATAATTCGGTAGGTAAAAGTTTGAGTTTGGCCCCAGAAATATCTTCGGCTAATAGGTCTCAGCCTGAATCAAAGAAATCAACAGTCCCGGAGTCAATACCTGGAGGATGTCTTGGGCTCATTTATAACAACTGATCCCAGCACTTTGGAAGGCTGAGACACGATGGCTTGAGCCCAGGAGTTTGAGGCCAGCCTGCGTGACATAGTGAGATCGGGCCTCTATCTCTTCAAGAATAATAGTCATCAATCAAAATCTACATTGTATGCTATTTTGTACTGGCTGGGTTCGGGGTCAGTGATAAAGCATGTTTAGGACCCAGAATACTGCAGGGGTACAAACTAACATTTCAAAGCCTATTCACAGCCAGTGTATGTATTTAGTGGGGAGAGCCAGGAGAACAGATGAGAAAAGAAGATTTGGATATATCTGTTTAGCAGAGTGATATGTTCTGGCCGGTGGGTGTATGTCCCTGGCTATCTATAGAGCTTGGTGTAGAAACCCACATGCAGCGAAATGTGCTCACAAGCACATAGACCCCTCTTTCAGCAGCCAGAAGGTCATGTCGGACTAGGGTGACACATTAGCTGAGGGACAGTTGACACCAGTTAGGGCAGGAACTTCTCAGGTAAGGAAGAGGCACGGCAGCGGAGGAGGCGTTACAACCACAGGCCATCTGGAACCAGGAGCAGAGGCTCCGTTTTTCTCCCAAGTGTGGCCCAACGGTGCTACCGGGTCCCCGGCAATTGGAGTTTTATCTCCTGGGTGTCAGAAGCGGGTCCAGGTTTGTCCCACAGCTTTCCGTGGAGCACATATGTGGGTGGTGACGGCAATGCTTCCATGTCCTGTGAAACTTTTCCTGAACAGAACACGTCAGTCAAATCTGTAAACCATTCCCGTGTTATCCTGAATGCCATCCGTTAAGAGATGCCATCTGGTAGAGGTGCTCTCATAAAGGGAGTGGCCTTGTGTCATTCTCCGGAGTCTAGACTTAGCCTCCTCTCGGCAGTAGTGACTAAGCCCAGGCCACGCCGGGAAACGGAGGAGGCGAGATGGTAAAGTTCAACACCCCTTCTCCAACCATGCCAGCTACGAGCCATCATCCTTCAGTGCCTTGCTGTGCCCTGGTGACCTCTTTATCACCTCACTGGTGGAGGACCGTTAGCTAGTTTCCACCTCATGGTGCCTACCAGCAGTGCTTCCTGGGACTGAGGAAGGAAGGAAATCAAGGCTGGAGTACTGAGCGCAAGTCAGAAGTGGGCGCCACAGCCACCTAAGAGCAGAGGGATGGCCGCTACAGAGGTGCTACCGTCATGCCAGGTTTGTGATTTCTGTGGCTTCTCTAACTTTTTCATTCCCAATTCATCTCCTTTTTTAAATAGATGCCTAACCCCCCTTTATTTCACACAGCTACGCAAATTGTGAGGCCAAGAATGACTGTAAACAATTAAGGTGTAATTTACGTGAATAAGCTTTCTTCCCCATGAAAATACTGCGTGTCACTTCACACTTGGTCTAACATACAAAATCCCCACCCTATCTGGCACAGTACACTCAACGTGCAACATTAAGTACAATTTCCATTTTATTTTTATTGGACTAGTCTGTCTGCAGTCTTGAAGGACTCAGCAGCTGACATGGGCTTTGGTGAGGGTTGTGGGGCAGCACCCACAGGTCTAAATCGGGGTGGGTGTTCGGTCCTTGCGGCCGTCATGAGATAGATTCCTGACTACTTTGCTGTGAATTGCTCAACTCACTGAGTAATGGAGCTTCACATACAGCTTGGGAAGCACACAGGCATCGAAGACGCTCACTTCAGAAATGTCTCTGACTGCTGCGGCCCCCGCTAGCTTTCCAATGACGTGTGTGTGTGTGTGTGTGTGTGTGTGTGTGTGTGTGTGAGCAACATGGCTGTTTATTCACACAGGTGTGGGTGGGCTGAGTCCGAAAAGAGTCAACAAAAGGGGTGGTATAGGAGTTGGTTTTATAGGTTGTAGGGAAGGCAGTGGAAAGTTATAGGAGTTACAGTTTAGGGTGGTTTTTTGCAAGCTGGGAGTGGGTCGTAGGGTCTGGAGTCACGAGGTTGGGAAGGTCAATTACAAAGTCCAATAGCCTTATCAATTGGGGCAGGAATATGGAACAATAGAGAATGTCTCAAAGTTAAGTACGCTCCACAGGGGTTGATCATTTCTTTCCCTTCTCATAGCCTTCCAGGTACTTCAGATTTTCCAGGAACTCATCTGGAGTGTCCGTGCAGGTCACAAAGGTTAACATGGCGTCCAATGATGAATTTCTTAATGGCCTTGTCCGTGGGCACGCATCAGGTACTGGTCATGCAGTGACTAGGCTGCACGTAGCCGTGGCCCTTTTAGGCACAACCCTTGTTCCATCTCATCTTGGAGGCACAGACTGGAAAGACCTAATTCATATACTTAAAAAAAAATTGTGCCCCAAATTATAATAGTCCCTTTATTAAGGCTTTTTCAAATTACCTTAATTTATATGTTACATCGTCATCATCCTGGAACCCTGACTGATAGAAACCCCAAGTGTGAGTTCTGTTGTGATTAGGAATTCTCTGAAGATAACTGTTTCTGCGTGTTGCTTCCAGCCATCTCTGAAGCTGAGGGAGGCAGCTGTCTCCATCTCCCTTCTCTAATGAATAGATTTCCCCTCAGTTTACCTACAAGGAATATTACTTTTCTGAGGGTCTTGTGCATTTCTGATCTCACCACCAATTTGGTAGAGGCCTGTATCCCATCATGCAGTCTTTGGAATTCTATGAAATAAGACATTAACATGAGCATTGTTCAGTTTTTTTCATTCTCCAATTGTGGTAGTTTCTATTCAATTCGGCCACCTGGCCGTGGATTTTTTAGCTTTGTTTTGTGTTTGTAGTTTTGAGCAATGCAGAGGTGCTGTGCATGCTTTGCTCTGGGGCACCATGTTTCTGGAAAATGAAAGCCCAACAGCAGTTCCATTTTACCATCCCTTTAACCTAAGTCATCTGGGAATTGCAGATCTTTGTGGGGTCCTACTTAATCCTGTTCCCTTTGGCAAGTGACATTCTTTGTACATGATTCTACACATTTCTCCCTCTGTCTTGTCTTCTACCTTGGTCTCCACTGCCCATGTGTTACCGTATAGAATCTGTTATCTTATAATCAAGAAAACAGCTTAACCAGATCTCTTCAGCTATGTCCTATGACCACTTTCATTCTTTTTTAATTTTCTTCTGAGACAGGGTCTCACTCTGTTGCCCGGGCTGGAGTGCAATGGCCAAGTCATTGCTCACTGCAGCCTCAAACTCCTGGGCTTGACGGATCCTCCCACCTCAGCCTCCCAAGTAGCAGGGACTACAGGCATGTGCCACCACTTCAGGCCACAACATCTAAATTTCACTAAAATAATCATTCTGGGCTTGCAAACAGAATTCTCTTTACTACATTACAGAAGATGATGCAAAGTCAATTTTGTTAGTTTCCATATTACATATTGAAAGAATACATCACCAGAACGCTAGATTCATGTATATTTGGCACCTTAAGTACTATGCTTGCGTTGTCACACATCACAGAGGAGACATAGCTGCCAATGGAAAAATAAGATCATCAGTGGAACAAAGGAAAGTAGGTGTATCCATTGTTGATACTGAATTAGAACTTGACTAAGGTATCAATATTCTTCCCAAATTAATTGGTCCTTTGTGCTCTTACATTTGGTTTTGAATAACTACGCAAATCAGAGGAAGTTATACTGATTATTATATGCAGGAACAGCAATCCCAACCTGCTCTCAAATATTATTGCCAGAATTGTCAGTATCTGATTTGACAGATTATCTGGTTTAATGATGACTATAGGGGATTTTTTTTAAACAGTGATTGGCTCTGTCACTCAGGCTGGAGTGCAGTGGCACCATGTCAGCTCAGTGCAACCTCCATCTCCTGGGTTCATATGATCCTTTCAACTCAGCCCCACAAGTAGTTGAGACTACAAGTGCACACCACCATGCCCAGCTATTTTTTAAAATATTTTCTTGTCAAGATGGGGTCTCAGCACATTGCCCAAGCTGGTCTCAAACTCCTAGACTCAAGCGATCTGCCTGCCTCAGCCTTCCAAATTGCTGGGATTACAACTGGAAGCCACTGTGCCCAGCTGTAGGATTTTTATTGTAAAATAGAATTCTGCTGCCTTTTGAGTATACTTCTCTACTCCAGTTGAGTATCATAAAAGAAGCCATACTTCCCTACCCACTGTGTAATGAGGAAATGGTGGGGGCATAGCTTTGTTGCTGATTCTCATTCTATATTAATGAGGTGACACTATATTCTTTTTTTTTTTTTTTTTTTTTTTAGAGTCAGGGTCTCACTATATTGCCCAGGCTGGAGTGCAGTGGCTAGTCACAGGTGAGATTTACACTACCGATCAGCATGGCAGTGTTGACCTGCTTTGTTTCTGACCTGGGCCGATTCACCCCTCCTTAGGCAACCTGGTGGTCCCCCACTCCCGGGAGGTGACCATATTGATGCTGAACTTAGTGCGGACATCCGATCAGCATAGCGCACTACAGCCCAGAACTCCTGGACTCAAGGGATTCTCCAGCCTCAGCCTCCTGAGGAGCTGGGACTATAGGCACATGCCACCGTGTCTGGCAAAGTGACACTTTTACCCCTCTCCACCAGGAGTCCAGAAACTGTAGGGTGGTACCCTTTGACCATCTCTACCTTGCACTAACTCAACTAAAGGTGGCACCTCTTCCTCTCCCCACAAAGCCCTGAAGACACTGATATAAAGTCCTGTTGACCATCTCCCCAGTGCATGAGGAGAGTGGAAATGGTACCCCAGGCCAGGTGTGGTGGCTCATGCCTGTAATCCCTGCACATTGAAAGGCCGGAGGCAGGTGGATTACCTGAGATCAGGAGATTGAGACCAGCTGGCCAACATGGTAAAACCCCATCTCTACTAAAAATAAAAAGATTGGCTGATGCCTATAGTCCCAGCTACTTGGGAGGCTGAAGCAGGAGAATCACTTGAACCCAGGAGGTGGAGGTTGCAGTGAGCCGAGATTGTGCCACTGGCACTCCAGCCGGGGCAACAGTGTGAGACTTCATCTCAACAAACAAAACAAAACAAACAAAAAAACAACAAAAGTAAATGGTACCCCTTCCTTTGCCCACCAAGCACTGCAGAGATAATAGCTGAAAATGTCTGCAGATTTCTAAACCTATAAATTTAAAAAGTTAATTAAAGCCAAACAGGTTAAACTCAAATAATTTCACACCAGACATATCCTAATCAAATTTCTGAGAATTAGAAACAAAGGAAATAACTTGTAGTTGTAGTCAGCCAGGACAAAATGACACATTATCTAGAGAGGTACAAAGATTTGAATGACAATGGATTTCTCATCGGACATCATGGAAACCAGAAGGAAGAGGCACAGCATTTTTTAAAAGCTAAAAGTAAAGAAGTTAATACACCAATTAAAACAGAGTATCCCTGGTCAGCAGCAGAATGTTATAAAAAAACAACGAAAAAGCACACAGAGTGTAGAAAGACCCCAATAGCCAAGCCATCTTGAGCAAGAAGAATATGATCACATTTTTTAGAGGCATCACATTACCAGATTTAAAAATATATCACAAATCAATAGTAATCACAACGTAATGGTTCTTGTATTTTTATCCCCAGAGACAAACTATAAACAAACAAAAAACCCCAGCATGGTACTGACATAAATGCAGATACATTGTCCAGTGGAATGGGACAGAAAGCCCAGAAATAAACCCTCACATTTAAGGTCAATTGAATTAAAAAAAAAAAAAAAACCACAAAACCAAGAACACCCAATGGAGAAAGGACAGTCTCTTCAATAAATGGTATTGGCAATGAAAAAGGAAAACTGCAGGCCAATATTCCTGATCAACATAGATGCAAAAACCCTCGAGAAAATAGTAGCAAACTGAATCAAACAGGAAATCAAAAAGTCGTTCACCATGATCAGGTAGGCCTTCATTCCTGGCAGCAAGGTTTGTTCAACACATGCAAGTCAATCAATATGATTCCCCACATAAACAAAATTAAAAATGAAAAACCATATGATCATTTCAAGAGACACAGAAAAAGCTTTTATTAAAATCCAACATCCCTTTGTGACAAAAACCCTCAAGAAACTAGGCATCAAAGGAGCACACCTCAAAATAGGAGCCATCAATGACAAATCCACAGGCAATGTCATAATAAAGGGGCAAAAACTGGAAGCCTTCCCTCTGAGAGCTGGCACAAGACAAGGATGCCTACTCTCACCACTCCTAGTCAACCTAGAACTGGAGGTCCTAGCTAGAGCAATCAGCCAAGAGACAGAAAGAAAGGGCATCCAAATATAAAAAGAGGAAGTAAAACTCTCTCTCTTTGTGGACAATATGACAATGTGATCCAATATATATAAAATGTATTTTTTAATTTCCCCAAAGAGGGTCATGTTGTGTCACTCAGTCTAGAGTGCAGTGGCACAATCATGGCTCATTGCAGCCTCAACCTCTGGGCTCAAGTGACCCTCACACCTCAGCTTCTTGTATTGCTGGGAACACGGGTGCACACCATCATGTCTGGCTAATTTTTTTTTCTTTTTCTTTTTTTTTTTTTTTGGTAGAGACAGGGTCTCTCTGTATTTTGCCCAGGCTGGTCTTGAACTCCTGGGCTCAAGTGATCTTCTTGCCTCAGCCTCCCAAAGCTCTGGGAATACAAACATGAGCGACTATTCTATGTGACAATATGATTCTATACAAAGAAAACCCTAAACAATGTCCAAATGCTCTGGGAACAGAAAACAACTTCAATCAGTATTCAGGATACGACAATCAATGTACAAAAATCAGTAGCGTTTCCATATACTGATAAGCTTTAATCTGAGAGCCAAATCAAGAATAGAACCTCATTTACAATAGCATTTCTCGAAATAAATTACCTAGGAATACACATACTCAAGGAGGTAAAATCTCTGCAAGGAGAACCAGAAAACACTGCTAGAAGCAATCATAGGCTGGACACCGTGGCTCATGCCTGTAATCCCAGCACTTTGGGGGCCAAGGCGGGCAAATCACTTGAGGTTAGGAGTTTGAGACAAGCCCAGCCGATATGGTGAAACTCCACCTCTACTAAAAATACAAAAATTGGCCAGGTGTGGTGGCAGGCCCCTGTGGTCTCATCTACTTGGGAGGCTGAGACAAAGGATCACTTAAACCCAGGAGGTTTAACTTATAATGAGCTGAGATTGTGCCACTGCACTCTAGCCTGGGCAACAGAGCCAGACTCTGTCTCAAAAACAGAAAAACAAAACTATCTAGATGGCATTAAAAAAAGAATAAAACATTTCATACTCATGGATTAGAAGGAGCAATATGATTAAAATGGCCACATTGCCCAAAGCAATCAACATAATCAGTGCTATTCCTATCAAACTCCCGATGTCATTTTTCACAGAACTAGAAAAAATTATTTTAAAATTTGTATGGAATCAGGAAAGAGCCTGAATACCCAAAGCAATCTGGTGGAAAAAGAACAATGCCAGAGGCATCACCTTATCTGACTTCAAACTATGTTATAAAGATACAATGACCAAATTAGCATGGTATTGGTACAAAAACAGAATAAAGACCCAAGGAACAGAAAAGAGAAAGCAGAAATGAAGCCACACACCCACAGGAAACTGATCTTCAACAAAAGCTGACAAGAATAAATAATGGGGTAAAGACTCCCTATTCAGTAAATGGTGCTGGGATAGCTGGCTAGCCATATGTAGAAGAATGAAACTGGACCCCTACCTTTCACCATGCACAAAAATCAACTCAACATGGATTAAAGGTTTAGATGTAAGATCCAAAACTCTAGGAGTCCTAGAAGAAAACCAGGAAACACTATTCTAGACATCAGTGTTGATTTTGGGAAACAATGTATGACTCAGTCCTCAAAGGCATTTGCAATGAAAACAGTAACTTACAAGTGTGACCTAATTAAACAAAAGAGCTTCTGCACAGGTTGGGCATGGTGGTTCACACCTGTAATCCCAACACTTGGGAAGTCTGAGGTGGACAGATCACTTGAAGTCAGGAGTTCAAGGCCAGCCTGGCCAACATGGTGAAACCCTGTCTCTACTAAAAATACAATTAGTTGGGCGTGGTGATACATGGCTGTAATCCCAGCTACTCAGGAGGCTGAGGCAGGAGAATCGCTTGAACTCAGGAGACAGAGGTTGCAATGAGCAGAGATTGTGCCACTATACTCCAGCCTGTGTAACAAAGTGAGACTCCATCTCAAACAAAACAAAACAAAAGAAAACAAAAGCTTCTGCACAGCCAAAGAAACTATCAACAGAGTAAACAGACACTCTATAGAATGGGAAAAAATACTCACAAATTGACCATCTGAAAAGGGTCTAATATTCAGAATCTCTAGGGAACTTAGCAAGTAAAAAACAAGCCCATTAAAAAATGGGGAAACATGGGCAGCTCAATGTAGCCTTGAACTCCTGGGCTCAAGCAATCCCTCAACCTTGGCCTCTCAGAGTGGTGAAATTACAGCTGTGAG